GTCTCTCTACATGGTAAAGATTATAGGTTTCCTTTCGTGGCACAAAATCCAGTTGTACTCTCCTTTAGAGGCATGCGTAGGGCATTCCTGCCCTTGGTAGTCAGGGACTACTGGCCACTTGGTGGTGATATGTGTCACCTGAGCGTAGGGTGTGTAAGAACAGGCATGCTTGTAACATAGTCTCTCCCCCTTTCTTGGTGAACCACCCGTTGCAATGGCAGCATCACTAGATGATGGGGGTCTCACCAGCCTGGATCTCTGAGAGAGTATGTGGAGCAAAGCCCTTTGCCAGCTCCTGCAGGGCCTAGCATGTGAGTCAGAAATAAACCTTTATGCTAATAAGCCATGGAGCCTGGTTAGCTGAACATGGCTCAGTGCATCCTGCAAATACACCATCTGATTTCCTAGCCTCCAAGTCAGCACCAAGCCTTTGGCTCTTCATTCTGCATTTTGGACATAGGGCTTGGAGGCTCTGTGCCCTCCCTCTCCTGCTCCTCCCCGACAGTGAGCTGTAGCTCTCAGCTGCCCCCACCCCTATTGTCTTCCCTCCCTGCTGGCCCTCATTGCTGAGGTCTGAGCAGGCTTGGGCCTGGACCAGAGTAAAGGGTGGCAGGAGAAGCCAGGAAGAGCGCTGTCTGGAGCTCCAGATGGATCTGCCCCTCGGGGGCTGAAGTGCTCTGTTGACTTAAAGCCCAGGGCAGCAGAAGTACCCAGCACAGGCTGGCTGGATCTGCAGCTCCCTGCCCCTGGCACCCTGGTCCTAAACTACTTCCCAAAGAGAAGCAGAGAAAGGTCACACTGACCTCTTGTTTCCTCTGAATAAGCCAAATTTTTACTCCTGTGTTGAGATCTGAAAGCTAAAACAGGCGGAATTTTCCATAGGGCTGTAGAAAGTGAGCTAGAGGGACTGTCCACACCATTTCCATGGTACAGAGTGGGAAACTGAGGACTGAAGAATGGGACTTGCCCAGTAGCAATGATTGTCATGAGACCAGAACCTCACCACCAGCATAGCACTGAGCACAAATGTCAATGAATTTGATTTTTCTAGAATCTGGAGTTTGCTTGGTGACAGCTAAGTGGTTTAGCCAACGAGGTAGCTTCTGCTGACCAGGGATATGATGTCCATTCTCAAAAGACCACAACTCCTCCTAGCCAGAGAGCGAACCAGGAGAGTCAACCTGCATGGCTGAGCCTGCCTGCTGTCCAGCAGGACTGTCTGCTCCTGCCGTGTGTGCTCCGGAAGGAAGCCTTGTGGTCGTCTGCATACCACCCCCAGTGTTCTCCACCTAAGCTCTGAATCATTTCTTTCAGAAGTGAAAACGCCCCAAAATGAATGACTCTGAGGCAGGAAGAGCACTTGAAATCTGCATAGATGGCTGTCACTGGCGGCCTCTCCATGGCCCTGTCACCAAGCAGTCATCGAGCCTCTGGCTCAAGACCTGCTGTGATGGGCAGCTAACTACCTCCCATGGCAGTTATTCCATCGTGGGCTTTGTCTCAATATCTAAGTGGAATGCCCCTCTCTGCTCCAGATCTGCCCTTTGGGCCATGCTAAACCCCTCTACCCCTTGACAGCCCTTCTAGAATGGGAGGCCCCTTGTGAATCTTCTTGACCTGGGCATGAACAGCCCAAGGCTATCAGGTTTCTTCACGGAACTCGGTATCCCATCTCCTCACTTGCAGGCCGCGTGCTGCTTACAGAATGCTCTGGCAGCATGGGCATCACCTGCGATTGTGTAGACTACAAATGCAGAGTACCACACCCACCCCAGACCTCCTGAATCATGATCTGCATCTTAACAAGATCCCCAGGGCCAAGTGTGGTGGCTCGTGTCTGTAGTCCCAGGGCTTTGGGAGGCTGGGGCAGGAGGATTGCTTAAAAGGACAAGAATTCAAGACCAGCTTGGGTGGCATAGCAAGATGTAGTCACCACAAAAAAATTTAAAAATTACCAGAGTATGATGGCATGTACCAGCTACTCGAGAGGCTGAGGTTAAGGTTGCAGTGTGAGCCATGATTGTGCCACTGAACTCCAGCCTGGGCTACAGAGTGAGATTCTATCTCTAAAACAAACAAAAATAAACAACAACAACAAACAAGATCCCCAAATGCTTCCTGGCCACATGAAGTGTGGGAAGCACTGGCCTAGCTACCTCTCGCTGTCCATGTAGCTCGTGGCGTAGAGGTTCCAGAATGCAGCTCTCCTCCAGGTGTGCAGGGCTGGACTCTCACCTCTCTCTCCTAAACATTCTTTAGAGCTGCAGAACCCCGACAACACAAAGGATCCTGGGTCCACCCAGATCTCAGAGTTATTTTCACAGAAACTGTTCCCATACTGCACCTCCCATCCTGGGTTGGGAGGGAGCTGGTATGTGTTGGGTCAGGTGTTGACACTTAGATTTGCCAAATTAAACATCTCTGTTCTTTTAGCTGTCTCGCCTGCTATTCAACCCATCAGCTTTCAAATCTGCCTACACATTAGGATCACCTGGTAGACTTTTGATCCAATCTCTGATGCCAAGACCCTATTCCAAAAGACCTGAATAGACTTTCTGGGGACTGTTGTGGGTGTCAGTTTTTTTTTTTAGACATGAGCATTAGAATGCTCCCCAGGCAATTCTAATGTGCTATTAGGATGGAGAGCCACTGGTTCACTACAGCTATTAAGAAGTGAATTTTATTTCTTTATTTTTCGACCATGCTCTGGGGTCCATCAGTGTAGTCAGCTCACTTCTGACAGTGACTCTGGGCTCATGGGCAAGGTATCTGTTGGCTACTGCCACAAGATTGCTGTGTTACAAACAACCACAAAATCTGAGTGAATACAATAATGAACACTGTGCTGGCTATCCTAGGCCCTGGTGGTTCAGTGGCTCTCCCAGACTGTGGAGGTGGGTTAACCATGCTTCTAACTGCACTGTGTGGGCAGGGTGACCCACTTTTCCTAGTTTGCCCAGGACTTCCTTAGTTTGGGCACTGAAAGTCCCAAGTCCCAGGATATGCCGTGGTCCTGGGAAAACTGGTATGGTTGAATCCCCATCCGTGGTCAGCCTGGGTAGTTCTGCTCCCTGTGTCTCATTCTCCGACCAACAGGCTAACCAGTCATGTGTCTTTCAAGATGTTGGCAGAGACTAGTGAGAGCAAGTGGACTCAAGAGAGACCCAGCCTCAGATGGGCTCGCTGTCACCACCCAGCATAGGTCAGCTTTGTCCACCATGTTGGCCAGAAGTTTCCAGTCCCAATTAAACTTCATCCTTACAGATTCAGCCTGGCTCCAGGCTATGGCCGTCTTTCTGGATCTTTCTTTAGGCATCTGGCATGTTGTCCAAAGCGAGTTACACAGCTGAGCCCAAAGTGAAGGGCATGGAAAAATATTCCGCCCACAATGAGGCCATGGCAGGCATGTGGCTGCAGAAAGGGCTAGATAATTGTGGCCAATCATTCCATCTCCCACAGGCAAAGAGGCTCTGGCTTCCAACTGTGGATGACCTTAAGTCCTTCCTTGGCTGCCAACTCTCTCTGGGGAGCCCAGTTGCAGGGCCAGAGACCTTCTCAACTCCCACTCCTGCCCAGCTCATAACACACATATCCGCTCTGGTGCCTCATTGCCTGTGTAGCTTCAACCCTCTCTCCCTCTTCCTCTCCTCCTTCCCTTGCTTTTTCTTCATCAGGTATTGAGAGGCATCTGGAAAGAGAGGGACAATCTTGTGTCAGCCTCATGAGCCATCTTGACCGGAGTCTCCTGCATCAAGTAAATTTCAACATAACAGACTTGGCCCCGCTTCAGCCTGGCAGGCTCTCTTGGATCCTGATTCACTCACCCTTCAGTACTTTCCCAGTGGCCTCCTGCTCTGTATCCTGCCCATAGTTTTCATGTATCAATAACCCAGATGTCAGCCAGGGTCTTCGGGCTCTGTGTATTCAGGTGTCTTGGCTGCAACCCCCAGTTCCAAGACCTGTCATCATCCAGAGATCCCTGGCCTTGACTTTTTCCCACTCCCAGAAGAATCAAGCAAACATCCCAGACATATCTTGGGCTCCCAGAAGCTCACATGTCATAAATGTAACTGTGCTGAGGGCCACTGGGGGAGGACGGGGTCACATCACTAACTTCACAGTCCACAAAACACCCCAAGCTCTAATTTCTCCATCCCCTCCTTCTCCTTCCTGGTCCTTTCCTGCAAATCCCCTTTCTGTTCCTCCTATTGGGTCATTCTACCTCTACTCAGGCCCACGGAGAGCTCAGCTTTTGTCCTGAGAGGTACCTGGGGAAATGTTTCCCTCATCTCATTACAGGTCGATTATTTCTGACTATGTTTTAGGTCCCTGGGCTCTATCTTTCCCCAGCCACCCAACAAGCTTCTGGGCTCTGATCCCAATTAAGTGCAGTAAAGCACAAAGAATGAGTAGGCTTTCGAGGGAAATATGAGAAGAACTTTATTGCTTTCAACATTATGTGGCTGACTCAGCCTGCATCCCTAAATTTATCACTATGGTCTCTACAAAATAGGAGCAAAAGGACGCTGACCTTATACCCCAGTTGGACACCTTCTAGCCTGGTTTCTGCAGCCCACCTAGAGTTTGCCCCCAACTAACCAGCCAGGGCTGGACCACAGAGTCAGGTGCTCAGCACTTGCAAAACCTGGATTCAGGTCCTGGCTCTGTCACTTGGAGGCTGACTGTGCCTGGATAAGTTGCTTACCCTCCCAGGATCCCACTCTTTGCTTGGGTGGCATCCGCTGGGTGGAGATGTTATGGAAAGTGCATCTAAGAAATAGCATCAGCAGAGGTGCCTCAAAACCTGAAAAGCTCCACACCAACACGAGGCACTGTTCTTCCTGTTTGCTGAGCTCAAGAAATGCAGCTGATTTCAATACTCTCTACCCACAGTAAATTTTTAACTAGAAAGGAGATCCGCTGTCACAAAAACCACGTCTCATCCCCAAGCCAAATAAAATGGGTTTCTGGCTGGGCCCTGCTGGTGGCATGTGATGGGGCTCCTGCCTCTCTGGCAGAGCTGATCAAGAGGGCAGGGTCCGCTCTCCAATCCCCAGGCTCTGGGTCTTGGGAGTGCAGGGGACCAGGCAGCTGCAGGCAGGAGGGCAGGAGGATCTGAGCAGCTGGGCTAAGGTCAGGCGCAGAGGTTTGGGCTCAGCAGAGACAGCCAAATGCTCAGCCCAGCTGCCACTGCCTCTTGCTGGGCCCTATGCAGGAGGCAGACGCTGGCTGCCAGGCTGGCAGGCTCCCCTCCACAGCTGCGAGGCCACGGCCCAGGGGCCTGCTGTTCCCTCTCCTCTTACCGAATGGCATTCTTTCCTTTCCTGTCTCTATCTCCTCATTCTCCCCTTCCTTCTAATCCTTTTCTCCCTCTGTCTCTTTGTGTCTTCACTGCTGTCTTTGTCTTATCGTATGTCTCTCTTCTTTGTATTTTCTTCCCTTCATCTCTGTGTCCTGGCCTCTTTTCATCTCTCTGTCTCTGGGTTAAAAGTTGGAGGAAAAGGATAGGAGGTGGGGCCCCAGGGGAATCCCAGACAAAACTGAGCTGAGGTCTTGCTATGATATGAAGGTTGGTGTTTCCCCAAAATTCATATGTTGATCCCTAATTTCCAGAGCAATAGCGTTAGGAGGTGGGGCCTTTGGAAAGTGACTGGGTCATGCAAGTGGAGCCCTCATGAATGGGACAAGTGCTCTCCTAAGAGAGGCCTGAGGGAACTGTTTGCCCCTTCTGCCATGTGAGGTCATAGCTAGAAGGCGCCGTCTGTGAATATCTATGAACAAGAAAGTGAGTGACTGTCACCAGACATCGCACCTGCCACCACCTCGATCTCGAACTTCCAGCCTCCAGAACTGTGAGTAATAACTTTCTGTTGTTTGTAAGCCACCCAATCTGTGGTATTTTCTTTTAGTAACCTGAACAGACTAGGACAGATCCCATCCTGTCCCATTCAAGAGAGACTCAGAAGGGTATCTGGGAATAGGTTCAACTCTGGGGTTGAACACTGGGGGCAACAGTGGCCTATGGGCCTCTTTAAAGACATCCTTGAAAAATGAAGCCAGGGCCCTGCACTTGCTCCTGGGACATGGGACACCCACAGTAGTCAGCTCTCGCTGATACCATATTAACTCTCTCATCGACAAACAGTTTTGGGGGCTTTTCTAAGTCCAGAGCATGTACTAGGGCTGGGGGATGAGAAGGGATGAGGCAGGGATGCTGCTCTGACAGAGTTCCCATATGCAGGACAGGAGAGAGTTAAATGAGCAACTAGATAGTTAGATCAGCCCTATAAATGGTATCCAGGGGGTAGAGCCAGAACAGGGGTTGAGCCACTTATGCACACTGGAGAGGCAATGTTGGAGCTGAGCCTAGAATGATTTAGAGATGTTTTCTAGGCCAAAAAGGAGAATCTGTCTTTGCAGCATGGACATTTTCTCCCATCCAGGTGTAGAAAAGCAAGGGGCTATGGCAGAGGGTGACACGGGAAAGCGGCTGAAATCCCATCATGCAGTAAGAACTTCCTAAGGCAGAGGCATTGGGTAGCCCTCAAATGCTGGGAGCCATAGGGCTGTGGCGGGGAGGCCCTTGTCCATCTGTGAAATGGAAAAATGATCCCCTTCCTCTCCCCTTGCCTTCCACAGAGCAGGAGAAATGAAGAAAGAGGCTGTGCCACCCTTGCTGTTGGCCAAGCAGAAGGGGGAGGGCGTGGGCTTGGCTCTCGATGCTGGGAAAGGGCCTCATTATGAGCTGTTTTCATTCACAAGGGAGGTTGTCATGGACCACACAATGGGGCTTAGTTTCTAATTTAAGAGGAAAACCTCATTTTAACGTGGCTTCTTCTATAACTGGGATGAGGAGGTGACGGCTAAGAGAACAAAGAACAGAACATTAGTGAAGGATGAAATACAAGTGGTGCCTTTGGCAATCTGACTTTGTCCCAGCTTTGGGGCCGTTCCCCTGCCCACTGAGCCTGCCCTGCTATGACTATCCTGGCCCAGGCATGCACCCAGCACTTTACGTCCCTCCCTGTTCCAAACGGGCTCTGAGATACGAAGAATGAACAGGTAGCCAAAGCTATCATTGTACAAATGGGGAAACTGAGGACAAGATGGGGGAAGATGGTTGCCCAAGGTCACAGAATATGCTAGAGCTAGCTCTGTGATGCTTAAGTGCATCTATTGCCTTCAGGTGTAGTGCCACTCTTGGCTCCCTTTTGAGGGTTGGAGTTGTGTGGCTTGCAAGTGGACCTTGAGCATGAGCTGATGACCTGAATGCCATCCATGCTGGGAAATCCAACTGTGGGAGCAGAAACCGCTTCTGAAGATCACTGATGCCTGCATCAGGTCCCTTCACTGTCACGCTCACTGCCCCTTTGGTCTGCACAACCTTCCAGTTTGCATTCCAGATGAGGAAACAGAGGCTCATGGAGGGTAGGGGTCCTGATAGAATGGGACTCAAACTGGAGTCTTCCAGCTCTAAAGCTCTTAAAGTCTTTTCCCTATCTTGTCAGATATGTGTGGACATCTTCACTTGAACATTGTCCATGTGATGTGGGCGTAGATGGTATATATGTTTTATAATATATACACACACACATGCATGCACATACATGCACGTGCACACACAGAGTTTTAAAATCTCCACTGGCTGCCCCTGCTCCGTGTTGCACAGAAAATTAGTATATTGGTGCAGCCACTAATCCCTTTCATTTGGATGCAAGCAAATGACAGGATCAGTCTCCATCACTGCCATGGCTAAACCCCAGGGCTTTCCCTGGTGCCTTGAATAAGAGTCAAGATGACCCACTTTTTCCAGCTATTCCCTGTCTCTGGGCTGCTTTGGCTGGGAAACTGTCAGTCTGGTAAATATCAGAGGCTTAGCAGAGCAGGTTCCTGCTTCCAAGGCTGCCCCTATTTGGCTGTGCAGCCTGGCTTATAGGACCATGCCCCAGGGTCCTGCCCCAGTGCTAGGGTTCAGCTGCCCACAGGGACTGACTGCCCAGCATGCTGGTGCCCACAGAGATGCCCACATAAGACTGGGGGGACTCATTCCTCATTCCCTCCACTTGCATTGCTGGGTGTCCAGTGTGTATGAGTGCTCAGGATAAGAGCTTAAAAAGACACAGGGTCTGCCTCGTGAAAGGAGCTTGTCATGAAAAAAAAAACCCAGAAATAAATGGCAGAGCAAGCCAAGTGTTCTCTGAGCACAGAGGAGGGAACAATTAATTCTGCTGGGAGGATCAGGGAAGGCTTCTCAGAAGTCTCTGGAGTGGAGACTGGAATGCAAATTAGAATTGCCACATGGAGAAATGAGGGAAGGGTATTCCAGTTGAAAAGGACAGCATGGGCTAAGGCAGGGAGGCAGGAAAGAGCAAAGGCAGCATGAACAAGAGTGGCAGAGGGCAGCTGCAGCTGGATCCTGACAAGCCTTGGGTCCTGGAAGAGGGGAGACACCTCTATCCTCCAGGCACAGGTCAAAGGAAGCAGAGCAGTTTTAAGCAGAGGAGCCGCAAGTTCCAGACATCCCACCGACAGGCCCTTGCCTCACCTCAAACCTTGGTGCCAGTCCATACCTGAGCCTTTTTCTACCCCAGTGACCTTGCTCCCCACCAATGGGTGCTCTGATGCTCTCCCTTTCTTCCTGGAACTTTCCTTCCCATTGAGTATGGAGCATTTTCTCCCAGATACCAAGCATTGCTCAGTGTGGACGTTGGTAACTGCAACCCTCCTTGCAGGGACATTGACTTGAGGCAGGAGAGAGGGAAGGGTGCCCAGAATCCCTAAAGGCTGCTCCTCAGGGTACACTCTCTGAGTTTTGCAAGGAACAGACGACAGAGCTGACTTTGGACCTCTGGCCTCAAGCCTCCAGGAGCCAAGACTGATGGAGGCAGTAGTTTGTGTTGCCTGTTTCTGTGTTGATGGGGACTTCCTGGAGCAAGGGCCAGTCACACCTAATACCACCAGGTTATTTGTGGGATAGGTGGCCACCTCTGAGCCTGGAGACAGAGTGTTGTCTCTGAGTAGAGAGCATAGCTGTTCCATTCTACAGGGCCTCCTCACCAAGGTGGACCTGTGGATGTGGAAGTATGCATAGGAACAGGCTAAGGAAGCAGGCTTGATGCCCCCTGGCTCAGCAATTCTCACCCTCAGGGAGAGCCCTACAGGGCCTCTGTGTCAGGCTTTCTGGCCCTAGTTAGGTGAATGGCCGTGGGCCTTTTACATTTTCCTGGTTCTGAAGAAACCAGAATAAGCTACAAGAGCCCTGGAGGAAAAGTCAAGCTTTCTTAAGTCAACTTCTATAATTTTAATATAACAAACCACAAAAAGCTTACTTTGACGAGCTGGAATATATGTAAAGACCTAACCTCCCACTATAATTAGGATTCAGAACACTTTCTGCACACCCCCATCCCGCCGAAGATCCCTCCTTCCCCCTTGCATTCAATCTCTCTCTCTCCATCTCTGGCCCCAGACAACCACATTCTGCTTTCTGTCACTATGGATTAGATTGGACTTTTCTAGTTTCATGTACATGGAATCACATGACGTAGCTTCTATTCTCTGGGGCCTGGTTTCTTAGGCTCAGAATTCTGTTTCTGAGATTCCTCCTTCTGGACTGTATCAGTTATGCACCCTTTTTCATTGCTGAGTAATATTCCATTTTGCAGCTATACCACAATTTGTTAATTCATTCACCTGTTGATAGACAATCAGGTTGTTTATAGTTTTTGGGATTTTTAAAAATAAAGTGGCTATATGAACATTTACAAACAAGGCTTTGTGTGAACACATATGTTAATTTTTCTTGGGTAAATATACAGGGGTGGAATTTTTGGATCATATGGTACATGGATGTTTAAATTTATAAGAAATTGCCCCTCTGTCTTCCAAAGTGGTTGTACCATTCTACATCCCCACAAGCAGTGTATGAGAGTTCCAGTTCCTACACATCCTAGCCAATATGTGATGTGGTCAGTGTTTTTAATTTGAGTCCTTCTATGGGGAGTGTTTCATTGTGGTTTTGACTTGCATTTCGCTGGTGACTAGTGATTCAGTGTCTTCTCACATCCCAATCTGAGTCTTGAGTCTGCTACTTTTCAGCTTCATGCTTGCACAAGGCACTCTACCACTCCAGATCTTAATTTCCATGTCTGGAAAGGCCGAGTACCAATCCCTGCCCGGTCCTCTTCTCCAGGCCTTTGTAAAGATGGCATCAGGTAATGTATGTGTGTGCCAAAGTGTGCAAAAGTATTTGCAAGGTGTAAATCCCAACCTGCAAATCCTCTAGCACTCAGCTCATTGTCTTGTTTTACGTAGATCTTCCTGCAGGAGCCTCCTTACTAATTGTCCTGGCTCTAGTCATCTCAATCTCATCCTCCACATGGTAGCCAGAGTGGTTTAGCTAAAGCAACTGCCAGAACTTGGCCTTCCTTTGTGCTTAAAACCATCCCCCTGTCTTCCCATTGCTGCAGATTCCATTTCATTCTTTCCACTGATAACACTGATTGATGACTTGCTAGATGCCAGGCATTCTTCCCGGTGCTGGAAATAAAGGGTTAAACAAAGCAGATAGGCCCTGCCCTTTACAGAAGGAAAACCCATTTTCCTTACTTTATAAAGGTAACAGAGGCCCATAGAGTTGAATGGGCTGTCCCAGATCACACAGTAAACAAGCGACAGAGCAGACTAGAAGCAAGTCCTTGCCCCAGTCCTGAGATCTTTCTACCCTTCCAGCAGCCTCTCTTTCCTCTGGTCATTCTCTCAGATCCACAGTGTGCCAGTACTAAGGGAAGGTGTCCTGCAGGGGACACCATAGAGGTCCACCCCTTCCCCTGGGGAGCCAGCAGGAAGCTTC